CTGGGGCCTGCCTTTCTACTCCTCCTGCAGACATCAGGACTCAGGGTAGGAGCCGCTCTGCCCAGCTGGCTTGTCAACACTTGTGTGGCCTGAGTGCCAGCAGGATCAGATCTGTTCACAACCAACTGTACAGACTAGCTCTGTAAGACTGCTACCAAGACTACCACTGGTCATTTTACTCGGCTATCTGAAAGCCTTGCTGTAAGAATGGAGAACACTGAATGAATATTTGCCTTCAAGTAAGTATTGCAAAAGTCATTTTGTAACATCTATACTGGTTTTAATGGAATTACAGTCTTTGAGGAAGTATAATTAAAGTGAACAGACAATTGGCAGTTCTTTTATAATGTGGGTTAGTAGTATCTAAGAAACCATAATTGTGAAGCCCTTCAAACTGCTAGTTACTACAGCTGGAAACTGAATGCTTGCAAATGCCATGGACATGCTCTAATTCAAACTCAACTTGATTCCGTATTTCTGATTATAAACAAAGACTGCTTCAGTGGACAGAAACAAGGGCCTAGATTCACCATTTCCATGAGATGGTCTTATACAAAATAATTAATCCATCATTGCTAATGCCATAAAAAACCCTACAATATTGAACTATAGATTAATTTAGCTGCTTATTCTGGGGGAGCGGCATGCTTCCATTTTTTTTGTTCATTCTCAGCAAACTTTGAAACCAATAATGATTTATGGCCTCCCCTTCTGCAATCTGGACTCACCCAGTATTAAATCAGAAACATAAACATAGCTTCTTAAGTGTGCAGATCAGCAAAGGTCCCTACTTTTGAAACTGTTGCATTTGTGATGCTCTGGCTGTGCAGGAGAGTCCCATAGCAATATTACGTTGAAGTGCAACCCCACCCCCAGGTTCTGCCACCCTTCTGATATTGGAATAATCATTAAAGGGAGAAAAGGTTTCCTGAGTGCCTTTAGTATCTCAGCAGCAGCTAAGACAATCAAGTTCTAACATTTATGCTACAGACTTCACAGATAGCAGTGTACCAGTGGAAAAGAACATTAACATTCAAGCTTGAATCATTTTCTTTTTTCAGAAAGAGAGGAAAGGCTAAATCAACATTTACATTAAAAGTGCTTCTAAAATAACATGGATCAATTATTTCAAACCTCTTTTTACATTAAACCAGAATATTTGTTCCATGGAAAGTAGTAGGACACTGGAAGGATGTAGCATGTTGGACTGACACAGGTTGCTTTTGAATTAATACAGTTCTTTACTATTACTAATGGAGGACAGATATATTTACACATTGAGCTTTCCTGTCTCTCATCATTGCATATATACTATTGCCTATTGAAAGAATTACGTGATATTGCCTTTATCAACGAAGTTTGATATTTCCAGTTTGTCTTGCTTATTCTTGTGTTTAACTGGGTGAAAAATATTTTAAAAGCTAATGGAAAGGTCCAGGCAATAGACTTTAAATAATTAATTTGTCAGACCTTTTCTTGTAAATGTTTGTATCCTACAGATACTCTCTTCCATTTCTGCTCTGATCAATCCCTTCAGCCATTTTTGGTTTTGCACGCACCTTTATGTAACACTTGCTACTTTAAATCTGTCTCAGCAAGATGTATTATTTCTGGCATTCAGTAAGTATTTTCTCTATGTTACTTCAGAAATAATGCAGAGCATTGGAATAAAATGTTTTGTTCAAAATTGGAAGAGGTTCAGGTTCTTTTGAAGGTTTTAAAATATTTTTTCTATAGATGAAGTTAATACTATTTCTCTTACACTCAACTTCATTGTTCTCCTTGGCTGACCTAAAGCCAAAAAGACTGACTGCACAACACACTGTTTGACATCGGTTTGGATTTTTTCCCTCCATCACTAGCTGTGAAAGGGATGTCCTGAATGGTCATCTCAGACAGTGCAGCAGGGATAGAAAAGAAAGGTAGTAGTACTGCTGAGCTCTGGGATTCCAAAACCGTCATTAATTACATCCAGGACAATCAGAAGAATCACCTAACTGCCACAAGGTCCTCTTCAAAAAACTAAATCTGGAATCTAATCTTTTCATTCCCTTTTTTAAACTTAATGTGTATGGTCTGTCACAGGGACTAAGGATTGAACACTTCATGAGAAAACACTTACATACAATGAAGATTGTGTGGTGGACTCTACTGCAGCAATTCTCAGAATAACTAACCGAATCTGCCATTATGCAACACGAAATAAGATCCCTCCCTCCCACTACGTCTTCCCTCAGGGCAAATATCCCTAGCCCCATATTTGTCAAAATTTATGCTGCCAAATTTTATTTTTGGTAATTCTTATCAGTGGGAGGAGATTACTATCTTTGCTATATGGATCCCACTACTGAAAACTGTCAATGTGATCAAATATGGGTTATCTTGAGATAGCCTCCCTCTCTCAAAAAAGACACCTGACTTCCCCTTGCCAATTACACCTGTAATTGTGCTTCCTGCTACATGAAGCTTTAGGGTGCAAGGAAAGCTTTTTCTCAGTTGCAGATGCCAAGTGACATCAGCTAGGACAATTTAGTTTATAGGCTACAATAAAATCCAATGGGTCAACAAGTGACAAGGAGGAAAGAGTTCCAAGAGGTCTAGGAAGTTCAGTAGGTGCATAAGGGACCTGGAAAAAGGAGTGAACAGCAAGATAACAACATTTGCTATAATACTGAGATATTCAGAGGAATAAGAAAAACAGATGGCTATGAAGAACTGTAGAAGGGCTTCTTAAGATTGAAGAGGAATTCAATGTAGATAAAGTGATACACTTGGTTAAAAAAATATGAATTGGTATCTTAAATTACATGCTCTGAGCTGATAACCCCTATTCAGGACAGGATCTTAACAGTGCAGTAGACAAGTTCATAAAAATACCATCTTATGCTTCCTGGAGATTAAAAAGCAAATCAAATTATACTATTGAGAAAGGAGTAGAACAACAGAAAACTAATATAATAGAATTAGAAAATTTTCAGATTAGGGTAGCAAGGAAAATGAAAGGTTTGGAATTACAGCTAAGGAATCTCTAAGTAAAATAGGCCTCAGACTAGAAGGGAAATGACAAAGCTCAGTGAAGTCAGGAGTAGCAGCTGAGTTGCTGAACTTCCTCTCAAAGGTTGCTGTGGGTCATAAAGTTTACATGGGTTTACAGGTAAACTGAAAATTCATGGAAGAGAAAGCTGAGGAAAGATACTAAACCTACAAAAACTGTCTGACTAGGGTGCTCCTGAACTGCAAATATTTGGCAAATGGCAGTATTTGGGGAGTGTATCATGTGTGCTTGCTTATTCTTTTCTTCTTGGCTCACCATGCACCATTAGCAGCTATCAGAGACAGGATTCTGGCACAGGAGGACCTTTGGTCTACTCCACAACAGCCACTTTTCTTATCTTCAACCAGTTCCCCTATTCAGACTGCAAAGGCAGCTTCAATCTCATCTTTCTTCAGTAGACCCAACCTCAGAGCTCATGTAGATAAAACAAAACCAGCTGAGTGAAAAACAGCATATTCCCTGTTCACAGAGTTGCCTCAATAGATTTGACATGAGGGCAGAGGTTTCTCTCAGAACTTTGCACAAAAATGGGAAGAGACAATACTACTATTTTGGGGAGCTTCAGACGACTGAGATTTCAGACTGGAGGACAGAAAATCCTGTTTCACAGGGGCAGAGAATGCCATTATTTTCTCTACATAAAGTTCTATGATTCTATTTGCTTTATGTGATGGTAATACGCTACTGAAGATTTATTCATTCTCAGACGCTATCGAAAAAAGCTGTCAAGTTGAGCTGGAGCCTTAGTTATTAAGACTTGGAACATTCTCTGACCTTTGCTAGCCAGATGTGGAGTGTTTTTATTGAGTAGGTATCAGTTCTAGATGATACCATCTGCAACAGGTCAGTTACAGTCAAAGTAAAGCACACCCTGCTATGTTATCTGGATTTTGAAAATAGCACAGGCAATCAAGGATAAGTTTCACAACACTACCATAACATTTTGGTTTATTAACTTAAGTGAGATGCACTTTTGTTTCCTTTCTTGTGGAATAATTGAAGTATTAATGCTCATAACACAGTCTTTGGAAAATCTGTACCAAAACAATATCCTTCAAAAGTGAAGCTTGATTTGAGCAGAATCCTTATGCTTGTGTATTAAAATGAACCAAACCCTCCCTTCCAGTTTTTTAGGTAGGCTAATGAGTAATAGTAATATAATCTGTACTGTTTTTCTAACAGATGCCAGGTGTCTGCACTCTAAAACCACTCAGTAATCAAATGGTTTCTGGGTTGCTGTTAAAATTGGACAGAGTGAGGCACAAAATTAGTTGGATATCATGCCTTTCCATTACGCCCTCGCCTATTCCTTGGTAGGGATTCTGAAAGTATATGACATTATACTGCATTTAGATGTAGGCTTTGTGGGCTAAGGCACAAGATGTTGAAGGGCCATCATCATGCCCCGGAACAGAAGATAGTTAAGAGGTCTCAGTGACGCACACTGAGAGATTCTGAGAGCAGTGTCAACCTAGAATCCACACTGATTCAATAACACATCTGCATAAAGCTGAAATATTTCTCATCTATTTAGGCCCTTCCATCTGATCTGGCTTATTTTTGTGTGACTGGAAATCATAATGTGAAAGTGAACAAATGAAGGTTCCATGAGGTCAACACACAGTATTTCATCAGCAGAACCATCAGTTTTAACTTCCTATCCCATCCCACACCTGCCTCCCCTCTGCCCCCACATACACACATAGGTATGGATTTTCACAATAATTCAAATCAGCAGGTTCTCAGAGAGTACCAATCCTGTGGAGTTTTGTAACTGCCTGTCCTTATTTTCCACCCTGAAAATATTGGATAACTATTCCAAAACACAGAAAAGTCTTAACTACAGTCCAGAACTTGGACCTCATTGGGGCCATCCTGAACTTACTCCTTCCAAGAGCTTAACTTTTGTAGGATCAATATAATCAACTTCAATCTCACACCCTACCTTTTAGGGGAGGACTTCTCTGTGCCATCCAGATATGCAATGACAGAGCTTGTCTGTGTGGCCATCTAACATCATATCCTTATTGCTGTACACCTGTGCAGTTCCACTGAAGCTCGTGACGCTTTGTTAGTGAGTTCGAGGAGAAGGAGCACATTCATTTTTGGTTCTCAGCTGTTTAAAATGCAGCTGTGATGAAGAGTCTCCTTTAAGTTTTCTATTTTTCTTCTCTCTTTTAAGGAATGAAATCTGTTGTGAGCTAACTTCATTAACAACCCATATATAAACAGTCATTACAAAGTGACTGATACTTGCATATATACTGTGATATTTTTATAAGACCCGCTTTGCTGCCAAGAAGAGCCTCCCTCTTTCAAACGCTGAGACTGATGACTGGCTGGACTGCCAAACCCATGTTGGTTGTCTTAAAGTTTCAACTGAAATTACAGTGGCTTTTCTTTGAAAAGTGAAGAAAAATTACAGTACTCCATGTCTTCTATGAAGGTAAAGCTGCAACAAACCAAACCTAAGAAGAAATAAGAGTTTTAACAAAAAGTTCTCACTGCAAATGCTGAGGTGTTATCTGAATGTCTCTTCTCCCCTTGGCACACACAGTAGCACTGAAATACCAAGCAGCACCATGGTTGTATTTATGCTGCATGTACAATGCTGCTTTCAGTTTGACTGTAGTAAGAATTCCCTAAATCATGTGTGGATTACTGCTGCTGCCTAGAGGGAGCTGTGGAAACAACAGATCAATTCTTTTCTAGCCAGCTACAGATTTCCAATTAAACCCTGCAATGATATGTCAGTACAAAGCAGCAAGAAGTATATTTTCATTAAAAACCAATTAAGAGGGTTGCTGATAAACTGGCACACGTGCTTTCCCATGAAAGTGCAGGGGGAAAAAAAAATTCCCTCTTTTTATTTCTTACACTTCTCTTTTGACAAGAAAGACCGTAGTTTCTCCTTGATTTTTTTTTTTAAAGGTTGGTTGCACTGTTTTACCTTTTTCTCTGTACTCTCCATTTCTTCTTTCCAGTTTCTCTTTACAGCTCCTTTTGCTACTATGGAAGAAACTCTATACTCTGTTTGAATTGTATTCCCCACCTACTATCTAAACTGATATAGGTTACATGGCAACACAGCAACCTCAAGGAGAAAGTCATTTCAGGATATGAAAATCATTCAGGACAGAAAACGAGAGCTAAAAGATACTCTAAATAAAGGTTAACAGCAATTTGATCTGCTAAAATTAAGAACTGTTTCACTTTCTCTCTGCCCCTTCCCAAAACCAAATTAAGTGATAAATGCAAAAGTGTCTGCGACGTGAACGTACTCTCCTTCAGCTAACTCATTTTTAACACCAGTACCATCATCATACTTATCAAGCCATTTGTCAACTCTCTAAGCATACATGGAATTTCATTAGATGCTGCTTTATTGTTTCAGCACTGAAGCTACTTATGAAAATCAGACAGACAAATTCAGTCTACAAAAACCAGCAAGTCAAAAATATTATTCCCAGCACTAATGCCTTTTCTTTGTTAAAAGTTCGGACAAGGTGAGCTCAGGAGGAAAGAGCTTCCATCCTGCAACAACTTGAATTTTCTGAAACAAAACGCAACCCTGTGCCTAAACAAAACCTACAAGCAGTATTTCTATAAGGTGAATTCCGCAATAAATCCCTTTTAAAAATGCTGCACTTTCCCAGAACGCTATGTTTTCCAGAATACATTACCTGTTGGAACCAGACAGTCTACCTCCAGTCAGCTAGTTGCTCCTCTGAGGGGAAAGGTACAGCAGGACACGAGGAGTCCTATCTGCAGGGACTTGCAGCAGGATTCCTAGGAGAAATTGGAAAAATTAGGTAGCCCGGAGCCTTGGCAGAAAAGTCTGCCTTCCTTATTTTGCTAGTCAAAACAGTTTTCTCTATCACCAGTAAGGAAGGGTTTTTCTTTACCTTGGACCTAAATCCTGACAGCTCTGGCACTTGTAAAGAAGCATCCCAACTCCCTTGGGATTCAAACATTGTCCTCTCTTCAGACATTTAGAAGAATGTTCCACAGCGCAGTTCTCCTTCATGTGGTTCCTCTAGTGGAAGAAAAGCACTTCTACCTTGACAGAATCACATGCCCACACGTAACATTTTTTGCTGTTACAAGATTTTTCTTAAATTATTGTTACAGTTCAATGATAGTCTTTGTTTTGGATTTGCTACTGAAATATACTTATCCAAAGTAAACACCATGTTTTCAGTTTCAGTAACTTTTTATTTCTTAAACTGAACTAAAAATGAGAACAAAGCTAGATACATAGTTATCATTAAAAAAGTATTTTAAAATAACAGTTCACCAATATCCATCTTCAGAGAGCAGTTTTTGACCTATGGGAGTAAATGGGCAACTCAGTATCATTTGTAATGTAAAGCACTGTTTAATTTATTTTCTCTCCATATTCTTTACTTCAGATAACCAACCTTCTTTCAGGTCACGTAAGGGCATCCACATCTATATTGTCTTAAAAGATGCAATTGCACAGGCACTTCACACAAAAATAACTGGGAATGACTTCACTCCAAAAAAAAAAAAAAAAAAAACCAAACATGTACAAAAACCAATGTTTGGAATGTTATGACCACTGAAGGTCAAATGTGGTTCAACTGCAGTTCATCTGACTGTACTACAGATGTCATTATATCTAAAACGATTAGAGTTTAGCATAATCCCATTAGTGGTAAAAACTGTTTGAAAAAAGAATGCTGGAATCTGCTCTGAAAACAAGGGGCAAGTCTTTAACAAGTATTTCACAAACAAAAGTTTGGGTTAGAAAAAACAAAACTCAAAAGCTGATACAGTCAAAGACAAATTTTAAGGAATGATGTGTAGTTGAAACTAAATGGGGATATAGTGAAAGCTACGCTAATATCCCAAGATTCTTATCCTCTCGTACCTCTGCAATGACAATAAACGAGCTATAGAAAAATCAGAAAAAATTCATGTAATTTTAACTATACTTGATTTTGAAAAAAAAAATTCCTTGAAATACTTTGCTCCAATACAGCTGGGAGAAACCGCAACAGTCCTTCTGAAAACATTCTGGCCAAAACAACAGGCCATTCTTCTGAACTGTTTTTCTTACATAGTAGGCAAGCTCAGATAGTAATGATCTCTTTTGATAAAACATCATAGTTTCTGATACTTATCCAGAATCAACTCCAAATCCTTCTCAAGTAAGGCAAATGTTATGGAAAAAGCAGTACTGTGTTTTTTCAGAGTTGCTCAAGTGTTGAAAGCTGGAGGGCAAAGAGGAGTATTAAAGTTGGGGGGGGCGGGGGAAGGAAGAACCCTTGAATACCAGGGAAAAAATCCAAACCAAACCACATCACTCCTTACAAAACTTGGTTTGCTATACCTTGACACCACTACAGCTAAAAGATTATGTCAAAATCCCACATTACAAGATACAACCCACAGAGGCAGTATAGTTTATAGCTTATTTTCTTTCTATTTGAATTTCAAGTTCAAAACTTAGGTTTAAAAATAAATCACAAGTCATGTCTCAAGGTATTGCTTTTAGACAAGAACTAAAAATATGTCAGCTGCTTATGCTAGAAAGCAATTCTGTCAGATTAGATTAATTGATGAAGATGAAATCTTTTTAATCAGCCAGCTATCATTTAAGAACTCTGCATTTTACTTCTTGATATTGTCTCTCATTTCCACTTACAGGACTGGCACTGACATGTCACACAGAATCGCAGAATTGTCAGGGCTGGAAGGGACTTCTGGAGATAATCCAGTCCAATCTCCCTGCCAAGGCAGGGTCACCTGGAACAGGTGACACGGGATCGTCACAGGTGGGTTTTGAATGTCCCCAGAGAGGGAGATTCCATAACCTCCCTGGGCAGCCTGTTCCAGTTCTCTGCCACTCTCAGTGTAAAGAAGCTCTTCCTCATGTTGAGGTGGAACTTCTTGTGTTTTAGTTAATGTCCATTACTCCATGCTCCTGTCGCTGGGCACCACCTAGAAGAGTCTGGCACCATCCTCCGGGCACCAGTTTTTGGGATATTTGTATGCATTAATGAGACCCCTTGTCAGTTTTCTCCTCTCTGGACTGAACAGGTTGAGCTCGCTCAGTCTCTTCTCAAAAGAGAGATGCTCCAGATGCCGAATCATCTTTAGGGCCTCCACTGGATCCTCTCCAGTAGCTTTTTGTCTTTCTTGACCTGTGGAGACCAGAACTGAACACAGTACTCCAGATGTGGCCTCACTAGTGCCACACAGAAGGGGAAGGTCACATCCCCAGACCTGCTGACCACGCTTTTCCTGATGCACCCCAGGATACTACTGGCCCTAAAACCACATTGTTCAATCAATCTTGTCTCAACACCTAAGCCTCAAGTTACCATAGGGAGAAAATACTGAAACAAATACACAACTCTGGTCTCAAGATTAAACTGCAAAATTTTTTTTATAACACTGTGATGATGTTAAATGGAAAGTCTGCAAGGCAAACTCAAGAAAAGGTGACAGTGAAATTAACTGTGTGAGATGAAAATCAATTCAGAACTTTCAGTGTTATTATATAGTAGTAATAAGCCTTATATATGAAACAAATGCATATGCAAGATAGTAAATGAAGTGGCAAACATTTTTAAATAACATCTTTAATTAAAGTTTTTGCAAAGGCAAAATATTAAACTTAAAATAGGTCTTAGTACATCAAAATACTAAGTTCTCTAATCGTATTCCAAGCATGGCCTTTGAAACATAATATCCTGTATATCACAGAGGAGCAACCTTGATCTGCAATTGTACAGAATGAATTTTACAAACATAATAAATATATTTACCCCCTTACACATAACAGTATATGTACAACAGCAGTTGACAATAGTAGCTCAGAACAGCAAAAAAGGATAGTCCCCCTCTCCATAATCTACTGGTACCCTATGCACTCTGGAACATGTCTCACTGGATGACTGTACATACAGCTAACCCAAGGTAGTTCTTCCTGTTTAAAAAAGCTCCTTTTGTTCCACATCTAATCCATCAAAAAATAATTAAAAAACACACTGCATGAACTGCCTGAAAAAAGTAGACAACATGGAAACCAATGTACTGGTTTTACATATTTCCCAACCAATCACAGCAATGGGAAAAACAAGACTTTAAATGCCAGACACCAATACAGAACAATATGCAAGTTTCTTCATCTTGTATAGTCACTGATCTCAAAGTCTGAGAAAAACTCTAATCTCAGTCAGGGGGGTGTGGGTCAGGTGGGATGGCACACAGTAAACTCCACAATGCTGTATAAGGCAGCCCAGTATCAATCCAGTGTGTGTTACCCTAAAACCACTGTTCACTTCCCAGACATCTTATTGCATTCTATTAGGAAGCTTTTGATTTGGGGGAAATTCGGGGGGGGTTTATTGTTTTTAAAGGAGCTTTTACAAATTGAAAAGATTGAATCAATATGA